GGGTGGGAGGAGAGGGGGGCCGGGCCGAGATTGGGGGGGTGGGAGCGAGGTGGCCGACGGAAGGCCGATGCCTCCATCGCCCGGCCGAGATTGGGGGGGGGGGGGGGAGGCAGGCGATGGAAGGCCGATGCCTTCATCAGCTGGCCGAGATTGGTTCGGGCGAGGCGGGCGACGGAAAGCCGATGCCTCCGTCACCTGGCTGGAGTGGCCGCGGGGGGGTTTGGAGTCGGGTGGCCTCTGGCGGGAGCCGTGGTCGCCCGGGCCAAGATTGGGGGGGCAAGGCGGGCGACAGAAGGCCGATGCCTCCGTCGCCCGGCCCTCTACAGAATCCACCCCCCAAACCTCCAGGTATTTCCCTCCTTAGAGCTGGCAACCCTACATTCCCCTCAGTGCCTGTTGGTAGGCAACTAAGCTTGGTCCTGTCACCTACTTTGGCCTTTGGGAGAAAACACATTGGGGCCAATCCTGATAGGGTTGCCAACTCCAGATGGGAAATTCCTGGAGACTTGAGGGATGGAGCCTGAAGAGGGTGAGGTTTGAGGAGGGGTGGGACCTCAGACAGGTACACTGCCATAGACTCCACCCTCCAAACCAGTCAGTCCCACATAGGGAACCATTGTTGCCAATCTCCAGGTGAGGGCTGGAGAGCACTCAGTATTACAACTGCTCTGCAGAAGGGAGGGCAGAAGTCAGCTGAAGTCAAAGGGGCAGATAATGGTAGGTTGGTGGCTAGCTGGGAAGGAGATGGGGTTGCCAACTACATGCTGACAAATTCCTGGGGATTTGAGGGGTGGAGCCTGGAGAGGGTGGGGTTTGCAGAGGGGTGGGACCTCAGACAGGTAGAATGCCATAGACTCCACCCTCCAAACCAGCCATTTTGTCCTGGGTAACAATTGTTGCCAATCTCCAGGTGAGGGCTACAGATTACTCACAATTACAACTGCTCTTCAGGTAGCAGAGATCAGTTCCTCTGGAGAAAACAGTGGACTCTGTCATTATACCCTGCTGAGGTCACCACAGCAAATTGACACTGTTTGCCCAAAGCCAGAGCACTCCCCCAGAGCCTCTTTCTAGATCTCGTTGTATTGCTTTCACAACGAGCTTTACTGCTAGTTACAACATATTTGACATAACATATTTTTGCCGGTGACTGCAGCCATGAAATTAAAAGACGCCTGCTCCTTGGGAGGAAAGCGATGGCGAACCTATGATAAAAAAATAGAGACATCACCCTACCAACAAAAGTCTGCATGGTCAAAGCAATGGTATTCCCAGTAGTCATGTATGGCTGCGAGAGTTGGACTATAAGGAAGGCCGAGCTCTGAAGAATAGATTCTTTTGAACTATGGTGCTGGAGAAGACTCTTGAGAGTCCCTTGGACTGCAGAAGATCAAATCAGTCAATCCTAAAAGAAATCAACCCTGACTGTTCCCTGGAAGACCAGATAATGAAACTGAAGTTCAAATACTTTGGCCACCAAATGAGAAGGGAGCACTCGCTGGAGAAGACCCTGATGCTGGGAAAGATTGAAGGTCAAAGAAGACGGGGATGGCAAAGGATGAGATGGTTAGACAGTGTCATAGATGCAACGAACATGAAATTGAGCAAACTTCAGAGGACGGCAGAAGACAGGAGGGCCTGGCGTGATCTGGTCCATGGGGTCGCGAAGAGTCGGACTCAACTGTTCGGGAACAACAACAAAGGGATACTGTAGTAGGCATTTTGCATCCCAGCTTCAGGATCCAGGCACCCTGGCTTAAAACGTCTTGATCCATACTAGTGGGTCATGGGATTAAAGGTTTCACTAGATATGATAGTGGGAAGTCGATTGAGTGCATTGCCTGCTGTTTCTAAAAATGCAGCCAGGAAGCCATGGCACCCAGATTCAGATCCACAGTAAGGGTGAGGGGATTAACCCTTTCTTCTTGCACCACTGTTATGATCTCAGTCCACCCTCCAGCCTCCCAAGACATGTTGTCCTGCAGTACAACCTATGGTGCCTGTAGGTTTTTCCTGTGGGTCAAATAGCAGCTGAGGGCAACTGAGATAATGAAAAGAGATCCGGAGAAAAGGATTAAAAAACCCACTCTCTGCTAAGGGGGAAAGCCATGGCTTAGCGGTGGAGCATCTACGCAGCATGCAGAAGGTTCCAGGTTCAGTGTCCGGCATCTCCCGTTAAAATGATCAAGTGGTAGGTGGGTTCATGCAATGTGAAAGACCTCTGCCTGAGTCTCTCGAGAGCTGCCACCAGTCTGAGTAGACAATGCACAGTTTGAGGCACCTGTGGTCTGACTCGGTATAAGGCAGCTTTGTGTGTTAATGTGTCTACTTCATGTGTTCATGCTTAATTCCTTTTCACTTCCCTCCCTTCCCTAGGTATATGGGATGATCTTAACTTCATTCCTCTGCTTTTCAATTCATCTCAACAACAGTTTGGATCGGAAGGACAAGTATGTTCTGGCAGGACAATAGGAAACTGGCCCTGGAGAACAGTTCAAGGCCACTGCACACCAAGAGATATCAAACAGTATGTAGTGGTTGTGAGAGGACGATCACCGACCATTCAAGACCTTATTATTCAATCTACTTGTTTTCTTTTCACATATACGAAATTTCAAATATGCCTAAACCAACATTATGCAACCAAGAAAGCTGTGGCGTCGGCAGGTAAAGCCTGAACAAAGTGTTGGTTAGAAAAGGACATGAGCGGCAGGCGGACATAAGTTGAAAAAACATGACAGCAGGAAATATGCAAGGACGCAAGAACTTGCCCAACCACAAGTATGATTTCCACTTGAAAGCCATGATTGCATGCCCCCAAAATAGCCAGTCAGAATAGAACAGCCTATCCAAGCTAAAAGGGAATTCAAGAAAAGGAAAGCTGCTCAAATCAACAGCCACACACAAAAAAATTAAAAATCAGAGAGGAGAGGCAGAAACAGCGGTCAGTATTGTGTGATTCTCATCCGTTTTATGGTTACTTCCATGGAATCAGAATCTGAATTGCATTTCATATACTTTGACAGTTTAAATAAATTAGATACTGAGAATATCTTATTTGTATAATAAAAAAATAAAAACCAGTTGTGACCAGAAGTACCAGAAGTATAATACTATTAAAATGAGTCATGAGTAAGGCAGTGCTCCTATACAAGCTTGCTTGGAAGCAAGTCCTACTGAACTCAGTAGGACATAGGGCCATATGCTCTAAAAAGGCAGTGACGATTCTGTGAGTCATGGCAGCAAACTTAAGGAGTGAAATACGCCCACGGGACAAGGGTGGGAAGCAAACAGCTGAGTTGTAAACTGGAGCCCATTTCACCATGGTAGGCAACCAAGCTTGGTTCAGATAAAGGAAGGAAACCCTTTGCAGGCCTTTGTGAGGAACTCATTGGGGCTAGTCCTGACTAGGCAAGCAGGAGAAGTGTCTTCATCAAGAGAGAAAGCTGTTCTGATAGGGCACAGTGGCTGAAGGGGGAGTGGGCAGGGAAGAGGAGCAGACCCAGCACCTGGCACGCAGACCTTGGCACACTGTTGGAGTGACAGGTCAGGGAGCCAAAGGCTGTGGGAGCATGTGGAATGTTCAGAAAAGAGTCACACAAAAAGAGGATTATATATAAGGAGAGCTCATTCAGCCATTTCAGTAACCAGACTTCTGTTGTAGGGGAAGGGCTTAAAGACCACTTCACCACAAAATGTGGAGTTTCTATTATTTATTATCTGCACAACTGCATTTCAAAACTGTGTCTTTAACAGGCTTTGATCTTCATTGCACCCTGAAGAAGTGTGCCATAACTGGTTCCAACAACAGCAGCATGCTAGATTCATTCAAAATAAAAAGCACAGATATTTATTAAAATATTAGAACAGAAAGCCAATTAATAATTCTTAGATTACTACTAGGTTAATTTGAGAACATACAGAATCCCCTTATAATTTTGACTTACTAGAGTGGCTCATACTTGTTCCATCCTGAATTTGGATTAAGCATGCTATTTTTGAGGAAATGTCTTTCTGGAAATTGCAGATAGTAAATCTGCAATCGCTAACTGTGTGAGTGCACTGCAAATGAGACATGCATTTGTCTTATTTTAATACCAATGCCACTCCCTTTATACTACTATAAATCCTTGTAAATAAACTTGTAAATCTTTGGTCAAAAATATGCATTCTGTCTTAGATTTTCTGTAGCATTTCACCTTATCCATAAAGCTCTGCTTTTCTGTTCTTGCACCGGAGTAAAACAGCAATTCTAAGCAAGTTTGCTTAGAGGTAAATGGGGGTTACTTCCAGGAAATTGTTTTTAGGATTGCCACATAAATTATATTATTTCTAGAGTTTATGAAGGAAATAGGAAGTTGAATGTAGGAATCTTAATTACTCTTTCACTGTTTGTCTAAAAAGCTGTTGCTGGTGATTACCCAAAGGCTTTTTGTTTATATCAAAGTGAATGGAAGATTTATCTCCACTTACCGTGAAGCTTCCTTCTCTGTGGTCCAGAGTGGGGCAGTCCTTCAGACTCCTTAGTCCTGGGAATAGCTCCTCCTCTCTGAAGGCAGGGCGAGCAGACTCTTTAGTCACAGAGGGGAGGGGCTCGTCCCCTGGAACCCAGTCATTCTCCAAGCCTCCATTCCCCTTCACTGCAAAGGAAACTGACAACACCATCGCTCCCAACGGGGAGCTAACTACCCAATGAACCTTAAAGAACTCATCTCCCAGGCAGAACCAGCTAGGGCAACCTACCCCCAGCCCTTGTCTGTACATGGATAAAGCCAAAACCCACCCCCATTGACAAAGGAAGCGGTTACCCTACACAAAGGGTGGGGAGGACTGCCTCACTCTGGACCACCGAGAAGGAAGCTTCACAGTAAATGGAGATAAATCTTCCATTCTCTGGTGGTCCTGGAGTGGGGCAGTCCTTCAGAGTCCTTACTCCTCGAACATGAAAAGGCAGTACCTTCCAGGGTCAGTCCAACCACTTCCCCATCTACAAGGTGTGCTGGAAGACCCTACGGCCAAAGGCAGCGTCTGCCAAAGCTGTCTTTTCTATCCTATAGTGCCTCGTAAACGAGTGTACCAACCTCCATGTAGCCGCCTTACAGACCACTTCCACTAATGGGAAAGCCCTATAAGCTGCTGAGGTGGCAGCCCCTCGAAGGGAATGGGCCATTACCCCCTGGGGAGGAATCAGACCCCTAGCCTTATAAGTCAGGTATATACACCCTCTAATCCACCTGCTTAGGGAGGACATAGACACCTTCCTACCTAGTGACAACTTCCTGAACGAAACAAAGAGGGAGTCGGTGGTCCACATGAGTTTTGTCCTATCCAGGTAGAAACTCGGTGCCCTCCTCACATCAAGGCAATGCCATTCCCTTTCCTTCTCACTTTGAGGATTTGGGCCAAAAGATGGAAGGACCTATGAAAGGCCGAATTGACCTCAGGGACGAAGGCCGGATCTGTATGGAGGACCACCCTATCATTATGGAAGACACACAGCTCTTTGTCCATTGAAAGGGCCCCTAACTCCGATACCCTCCTTGCAGAGGTAATGCTTACCAGGAAGACCGTCTTGAAGGTCAGCTCCTTTAAGGCACATGTTGCCATGGGCTCAAAGGGAGCCTTACACAGCACCTTAAGGACTATATTGAGGTTCCAGGTCGGAAACCTATGTGCCTGCGGAGGTTTCAAGAGGGTCGTATCCCTTAGGAACCTTTTAACATGAGGGTGTCTAGCCACTGAATGACCTTTCTTGGCTCCCCTGACAGCTGAAATGGCAGCAACCTGTCTCTTTAGGGTACTTGTGCTAAGGCCTTTCTCCAACCACTCTTGAAGGAAAGACAGGATCTCACCAATGGGTGCCCTAAGAGGCTCCAGTTCCCTCCCTGCACACCAAGAATGGAATATCTGCCATGTGTTGTTATAAACTCTGTTGGTGGACCCCTTCCTGGCCGCTAACATGGTCTTAACCACCCCCTGTGGGTAGCCTATATCTGACAGCTGCTGCCACTCAACCTCCAGGCGGTGAGCTGTAATGACCCTGGTTGAGGATGAACCGTTGCCCCCTGTGTCAGAAGATCCTCCACTGGAGGAAGATGCCACGGTTCCCCCACCGACAGTCGCAACAGACCCTGAAACCAGGCCCGTCGAAGCCAATATGGGGCCACCAGAATTATTTCTACATGTTGATCTATTACTCTTTGGACCACTTTCTGAATGACTTGAATCGGTGGAAAGGCATACAGAAGCATCTTTGGCCACTCTAGATACCAGGGGATTCTCTAATCTCGAGACAAAGTTTGTTGATTGACGATTTTCCCCCTGTAGCGAATAGGTCCACTTCCGGCATGCCAAATTTGTGACAGAGTTAAGCAAACACTGTCCTGTTGAGCATCCACTCTGACGGATCGATCCACTGACGGCTCAGCCAGTCTGCCACGGTGTTCTCCCAACCCACCGTGTGTATTGCTTTTATGGACAGTATGTTCTTCTCTGCCCATCTCATCATCCGACTTGCTTCCTCATGCAGCCGTTTGAATCGGGTCCCCCCTTGCCTGTTGACAAAGGCCTTTGCTGTTATATTGTCTGTAATATATGATGGCCTGCTATCTCTCCTTGGAATTTCTCTAGAGCCATTCTGATCGCTCGTAGCTCTAGCGGATTCGTGCTGTTGGACCTTTCTGATGGGTTCCAAGTGTCTTGTGCTATCTTCCCCTCCATGTGCACTCCCCAGCCAAACAGACTTGCATCTGTTGTGATCACCACTCGAACCGGTTCTCTGAGTGGCATGCCCTCTGAGAAGTGGTGTGGCTCCATCCACCAACCTAATTGTTGTTTCACTAACTGTGGAAGGACCACCTGTTTGCTTTTCTTCTGAGCGATCATGTCCTGAAAGGAGAGAAGAAAGCGTTGTAGAGGGCGTGTGTAGAATCTGGCCCAATGTGACACCTCCTGGCATGACACTTGCATTCCCAAGAGTTGTGCTAAAGTCATGACTTCCACTCTTTGTGAGAGCATGACTTCTTGCATGAGTTGAATTAGCTTCTGTTGTCTCTCTTGAGATAGAAAAACTGTCCCTCACCGTGTCGATCCACACTCCCAGACGAAGGAGTGATTGAGTCTGCACCGGATGCTAGTAAGAATGATCACTGTTCTGAGGAAGGGAAATATTCAACATTTCAAGTCCACAGGATGAGGGGCCAAAACCCAGAAGAGATTCTACAGTGTGCAATTTGTTCTACAAGCCAAACTATTACTACAGCTGCATTTCCTGCAATATCCATTCTGTACTGTGTTTCAGCAGAACAGAATCTGCAGCTCCTTTCCTTTCCTTCACAGTACAATTGTTTTCTGGTTTTCCGCAGCTTATTCGATCTTTTCACTAAGCTAATATTCCTGGACTCCTTTATCCAGATCATATTTTTCAGATCCTTTATGCTAGCTTTTTACCTGAATCCTCCATTGTGTCCCTTCGCTTTCACAATATAGGGACGGGAACTGGATAAGCCTGATTTTCAATAGAGTGGCAGTGTTATCTTTTACGTTTTGTACTTAATGCATCCCCACTGGGATTTACCAGTTTTCCAGCACGTTCTTCTACTCATGTGTACTGTGATCTTTTATAACTGCTTGGCCCTTCTCGGGTTTCTGTTGCAAGGGCAGGAGGGAGGGAGAGATTAACAGTAGAAGCCTGCATGGAGTGCAACCTTCAAATAGTCTTGTATTGATGACCTCCAAAGTTCTTTCAGTTTCTTCTCCAAGCAGCCAAGAGAGGAGTGATGATTAGCATACTGAATGTTCCGTCACTGGCACTTCCTCTTTCGCCCATCAACATATTTTTTTCTTCCTACCTTGCAATTCTCCTTTTACATAATGTGGAACAAACACAA